GACTAAGAGGAGGAATTCTTTTCGGTCCACCTTCAAGCCGTAAGGTGTTCAATAAAACTGTGATGTGTGCATTTTACACTGGAAGGATATTTATTTTGGAACAGTGTTTGACTGTGTTCTTAGAAAACCTTAAAAAGTAAGTAATTATGATATCCATAAGGCAATGAATTCCATTTTCACTGACATTAGAAAAAACAACAAAAGCGTGTGTAAATTTTTTTTTTTTACTTTTAGTTTTTTTATTTTAAAATTGTTGGGTACAGCCGGGCTCGGTGGCTCAGCCTGTAATCCCGTGCCTTTGGGAGGCTGAGGTGAGTGGATTGCCTGAACCCGCGCGGGTTCGAGACCCGCCTGGGCAGCGAGACCTCATCTCTACAATAAATTAAAAAATCAGCCGGGCGTGGTAGCGCATGCCTATAATTCCGGCTACTTGGAAGGCTGAGGCGGAAGGATCGCCGGAGCCCAGCAGGTCGAGGCTGAGGCCGGGAGCGGCCACTGCACTCCAGTCTGGGCGACAGAGTGAGACTCCAACTCAAAAAAAAATAAAAAGAATGTACCTAGAAACTCTTGATATACTTTAGAAATTAGATCAAAACTCTTAATGTATTTATTTATTTAATTGAACAGCTTGATTGAGATATGCACATACAGCACAACACATCCCTTTAAATTAAGTGTAGCATTCAGTGGTTTTCAGTATATTCACAGATAAGTGCAAACATCACCACAGTCAAGTTTCAAACATTTTCATCACCTCAAAAGAAACTCCTGTAGTTTTGTTTGTTTGTTTGTTTTTGAGTCTCACCAAGTTGCCCAGACAGCTCTCGAACCCACGGGCCCAGGCAATCCATTCACCTCGCCCTCCCAAAGCACTGGGACTACAGGCTGAGCCACCCAGCCAAGCCCAATTCCTGTACTATTTCACTGTCCCTCTTCCCCTATCTTTCCATCTTCCTCCTCCAAGTCCCAGTCCTAGGAAACTACTCATTTACTTTCTGTTGCCATAAAGCTTTCCCACTCTAGACTTGGAATGGTATCATATAAAATGTGGCCTTCGTGATTAACTTAATTCACTTAGCATAATTGTTTCAAGGACATTTATGTTGGAGAATATATCAATACTTCATTTGGTTTTTATAGCCAAACAACTTGTCTTGTATGGGTATAGCACATTTTGTTTGTCCATTTATCCATTAATTAACAGTTGGTTTGTTTTCACTTTTTATCTGTTATTGATAAGGTTGCGATAAACATTCATGTATAAAAATTGGTGGGTCACGTGGTAATTCTGTGTTCAACCTTTGTGGAACTGCCAGACTGTTTTCCACATTGGGTGCACCATTTTATATTCCAACCAGCAGTGTATGAGGAATCTAATTTCTTCATATCTTCTTTTTTTTTTTTTTTTTTTTGAGTTGGAGTCTCACTCTGTCACCCAGACTGGAGTGCAGTGGCCGCTCCCAGCCACCTCAGCCTCGACCTGCTGGGCTCCGGCGATCCTTCCGCCTCAGCCTTCCAAGTAGCCGGAATTATAGGCATGCGCTACCACGCCCGGCTGATTTTTTGATTTATCGTAGAGATGAGGTCTCGCTGCCCAGGCGGGTCTCAAACCCGTGGGCTCAGGCAATCCACTCACCTCAGCCTCCCAAAGGCGCGGGATTACAGGCTGAGCCACCGAGCCCGGCTTCTTCATATCTTCAACACCCACTATTATTTCACTTTTTGATTCTAGTCATCCTAGTGGATGTAAAGTGATATCTCACTGTGGTTTTGATTTCCATGTTCTCCATGAGTAATGATGCCCAGCATCTTTTCCTAAAAACCAGTAAAGTACTGATACATGCTACAAACATATATATCCCTTCAAAAATTATGCTAAATGAATGAAGTTAATCACAAAGACCACATATTTTAAAATTCTATTCATATGGAAGTCTAGAATAGGGAAATTCGCCAGGTGCAGTGGCTCATGCCTGTAATCCCAGCACTTTGGGAGACCAAGGTGGGAGAATTGCTTGAACCCAGGAGTTTGAGACCAGCCTAGGCACATAGTGAGGCCTTGTCTCTACAAAAATTCAAAAAATTAGCCAGATGTGGTAACATGCACCTGTAGTCCCAGCTACTCAGGGGACTAAGGCAGAAGGATTACCTAAGCCCAGGAGGTTGAGGCTGCGGTGAGCCATGGGCATGCCACTGCACTCCAGCCTGGGCAACAGAGTGAGACCCCCAACTCAAAAAAATTTTTTGAGAAATCCATAGAGACAAAAAGTAAATTAATGATTGCCTAGGGATGGGAATTGAAAGAGGAAGATAAGAAGAGGAATGGAGCCGGGCTCGGTGGCTCAGCCTGTAATCCCGCGCCTTTGGGAGGCTGAGGTGAATGGATTGCCTGAGCCCGCAGGTTTGAGACCCGCCTGGGCAGTCGAGACCTCATCTCTACAATAAATCAAAAAATTAGCTGGGCATGGTAGCGCACACCTGTAGTTCCAGCTACGTGGAAGGCTGAGGCAGAAGGATCGCCGGAGCCCAGCAGGTCGAGACTGCGGTGGCCGGGAGCGGCCACTGCACTGCAGTCTGGGTGACAGAGTGAGACTCCAACTCAAAAAAAAAAAAAAAAGAAGAGGAATGGTAGTAAAGTGTGCAGGAGTTTCTTTTTAAGGTGAAGAAAATACAAAGTTGACTAAAGTGATTATTGCACATAACAATGAATATACCAAAAACAATTGAATTGCAAATTTTAGAGCAGTAACTTGTATAATGTGTGTATTTTGTCTCAAAGTAGCTGTCCCAGGACATAAATAAATGTATTAGATGTGTTTATCTAGTTTATTAAGCATATTAAAAACATCCAAGTACATTTACTTACCCTTTTAGATTTTTTTTGTTATCAATGTCAATTAAAGAAAAAATTAGACTTTTAATGAATTAAAGTTAATTTTATTCAGAAGTCTGACTGAGGGTTGCAACCTGGAAGAGGCTTTCAGAGAGCTTCTGTTAAACCACTCCAAAGTAGTGTTTCAGCCTACAGTTTACAGTGGTGGCATGGTGGCTCTGCATGTGCTCAGAAGTTACATCAAATGTCAAAAGTCACATTAAATATGCTCAGAAGTTACAGTAGAGCAAAATCTCATCAAGGATTGTATGAGAATATACATATATCTGGTTATAGATTACAGAGGCATAGTTAGTGACTCCATTACAGAGGCATAGTCACTAACTCCATTTTATGTACAGGAAGAGGTAAGGGCTAGGATAATTTAACTTATCTTTCCCAAAGTGATCTCTCACAGAAACAAAGATCTGAGCATCACATGTTCTCACTCATAAGTGGACCTTGAACAACTACCATAATACTATAAGAAAAGAATCAACAGTGGCAGGAAACTATGGAGGGGAGGACAGGGAGAGGAAGGGAGGTGGGATTAACAGTAGTCAATATCTGGGGAAAGGGGGGCACACCTCATCAACAAGGGTACCTGCCCAATGAATATTTGCATGCCTAACCCTTATCTGTACCCCACAACTTTAAAATAAAATATATATATTTTAAAAAATGCAGTGATTCAGTCACGAGACCTGATAGGTAACTTGAGCTCTCTCCTACTTATTGTCTTCAGAGCATTGTTCCAAAGGGCTGAGCTCAGTCACTGAATCAGGGGCTTTGAGAAATTCGGCTGGCAAGAAGAATAAGCAAGCATAGTTTTCTTACACTTGCTACTTTGTCTTACAACAGAAAACCAGAGCTGGACAGCAGTTAAAACTTTGAAGATGGAATTTATTCAATAGAATATTGCAGTAGAGAAAAAGAGGCTCCAGTATAGAACAAGGCTCGATTTCAAATACAACCAGAATAGCAAACGGGGATTTCATCCAAAAAGCAGTTGGAGAGAGGGAGCATTGGTGGATGGAAAAGTAACTAAGAGGAGGCGCATTTCTGTGGCAATTCTGGCTGAAGGCAGGACAGGGTGATCACATATCACCTAGGAGATTGTGGGGATGAGGAGTTTGATCAGATATCAAAGACAGGAAGTTCTACTGAAACCAATTTAGCAGATTCTTGCTAAAAATGATTTCTACAAGGAAGTATACAGATGGGCCTTGCTGGGGAGAAGGCTCAAGGGATCCTGACTAACGTTTGCCAAGCAACAATCACTGTCACTTGTATCAGTGAAAATAGGAATTTAATTGCCCTGGGATATCATAAACATTTGCTTTTCAAAATTCTCTAGGGACACATTCAAAAATTGATCTAAAATAAATTTCCTTCCTATGTAAAATATATACCTCAGTTTTATTGGACACATCTTGTGGTAGTTCTGAAATGAGCCCAAGCGCCCAGACTGTGGCTGCGAGGGTTCAAACTGCCCCCTGTAGCCAAGTGCTCGCAAATCCTTCTCTAAAACGTTAGATGTGGGGAGGAGAAGGGGGGAAGGGATGGGTGAAAGTCTTAACTCTGCCAAATGTCAAAGATCAAAATGTAGCCAGACTCTGTTACACATGATGAGGTCACTATTAAGTGTCTGTGCTTGTAAACAAGGGTCACACTTGTGAGTGACTTGGCAGCTTTATGCAAAGCCACTGTGCCCTGGAGGACATCTTACTCTCCTGATCCAGTCTGGGCTTGCTTCGGGGATGCTTTTTCTCTGGATAGCTACTCGAAAGGTGGCTCATCAAGCGATTCGCTCCATCTGGAAACTGGGTCGGCCATTCCCTGCGCACACCTGTGTCCCCATTCAGACGATTCTGCAGGCGGGCGCCAGTGTCTCGCCTGAGAGCCTGGAAAACGTTCTGGTTAAACGCAAATGTCTCTGGCGGAGACAGGTTCCGGGACATTGGCCTAAGTGGGTCTGCTCAACTACCTGACCTCCATCTTCGATGTCACTCAGATAAAAGAGGTGGGGCTATGCCAACTGTCCAATCAGGGCCGCCTCCGGCGTAGTGGGCGGGGCCACGCTTCACAAAGGCGGGTGATTACGTTGCGCGCGTTCTGGTGCGTGTCTCCAGGTGACTGCGCCGCGGCGTCTGCTGCGCTAGGACCTGCAGGGACCGCGGGAGCCCTAGAGGGGACCCCGGGACTCCGCGAGAGCCAGGAAATGGTGAGTGAGTGTATAGGGCCGTGCCCCGAGACGGGGGGAAGAACTGGTTGGAACGGCCTTCCCCACGTCCACCCTGGGCTCTGCGGACCGCTGGCGCAGGTCGGCCTAGGTCCCCTCCGGCACACGGTGGGGCTGCGCCGGCATCCGGGACCCCGGGCGCCGCGTCCGGTCCCTGCGCGGCGACCTCGACCCCGGCGCTCTCTCTGGGCATCTCCGCGCCCGCAGCCCCGCGTCCCCCAGATTGTGCGGGAAAGAGGGGGCGTCCTCAGGGGCGAGTCCCGACTCGTATGCGGGCTTGTGCGTGAAAGGTACTGTGGTCCGTGGGGTCCCCAGTCCATCCTTTCTCGCGGGGACCGGCTTGTCTCTGAATTTTCCAAATGTGTGGAAGCAGGGTCTCAAAGCCACGATCCTGTCTCCCCAGCCTAGCTCTTCCTGGAGCTGACAATACATCACTAAACAAATTCCTTCTCGCCTTTGAGATACAACTTTCTCCAATTCACAATATTATTGCTTGCCCTTGTAAATAAAATTTACAGGAAGCCATTGGTTTTAACTGAGCTCCTGCACTAGACCCAATAGACCAAACCAAAACGGGTATCTCGTGCTAAATAAAGTTCCAGGCTACTAAGTCCAAACTAAGTTGTTTATGTGACCTTATGGTATTGGGAGGCAGGTGATGGCCAAATCTCCAAACAGGCCAGTTTTAGTTTGCATGATAAGAAAGCCCTTCTGCTTTAACCTTTATGTAGGAAAGTAGAACTTTGAAAGGAAAGTTCCAGATTTTTTTTTTTTTAAGTCTCTGTTTCTACTTTCTTCTGCCCTTTTCTGCCTGTAAAGCCAAGCTCCTTTGCTCAGCTCATCGGAGTTGCTCAATTGCAGTATTGCAAATAAAAGCCAAATTGATTTTTGTTTGTTTGTTTTATTTTATTTTTGGAGAGGGAGAGGAGGATGAAGGGGGAGAGCAGGGAAAAGGGGAGAGGGAGGGTGAAAACAGGGAAGAAGAGGAGAAGGGAAGTTATGGGGGAAAAGGAGGAGGAGGGAGGACCAAATTGGTTTTTAAATTAAATCTGCAGTATTGTTATAAAAAGTCTTCTATGCTGCATTCCGAACAGCTGTGCTATTTTAGTTAGTTTTTCCACAGAGCAGTAGGTAGCACTTTTAAAAATGTTATTTTTTGTTTGAGAATATCTTCCATGAGAGGACAGCAGAGAACAACCACCTGAAATCTTGTTGTATAAAAATCCTTGTGTCTCTTCTCCCAGTATCTTTCCTAGACACACATCCTTTGGGAATTCGGTTGGGTTGGTTCTCCTCTTTGGATACTTTCCTGGATGTACTTTGGATACTTTCACCTTTCAGCGCTGTTCCAGGTCAGTACTGCCTCTACCCAAGTCTGTTTTTTTTTTTGAATTGGAGTCTCTATGGCCCAGGCTGGAGTGCAGTGGCACACTCAAGGCCACCACAACCTCAACCTGCTGGGCTTACGCAATCCTTCCACCTCAGGCTTTTCTTTTTTTTTTTTTTTTTTTTTTGGAGTTAGAGTCTCACTCTGTCACCCAGACTGGAGTGCAGTGGCCGCTCCCCGCCACCACAGCCTCCACCTGCTGGGCTCCGGCGATCCTTCCGCCTCAGCCTTTGGAGTAGCTGGAACTACAGGTGCGCACTACCACGCCCGGCTAATTTTTGATTTATTGTAGAGATGAGGTCTCGCCAAGTTGCCCAGATGGGTCTCGAACCCACGGGCTCAGCCTTTCAAGTATCTGGAACTATAGACATGCGCCACCACACCTGGCTAATTGGGTTTTTTTTTTTGTAGGGACAGAGGTCTCACCAAGCTGCCCACGCTGGTCTCAAACCCCTGGACTCAGGCAATTCTCTTGCCTCAGCCTCCCAAAGTGATGGGATTGCGGGTTTGAGCCACCGCACCCAGCAGGTCTGTCATCTTGAAAGGATTTAGTCACTTATTTTTTCCTCCTGAAATTCATGTCTTTCTTGTCTCTGGAAATATTTTATATTGTCATTCAACTGTGTTAATTACATATATTTTACATTTATTTTTAAAAGAGGCTCAAATAAGATCTGTCATTTTGAAAGGATTTATTCACTTATTTGAGCCTCTCAAGTGAATAAATGTAAAATATATGTAATTAACACAGCTTGAATGACAATATAAAATATTTCCAAAGAGACAAGAAAGACATGAATTTCAGGAGGAAGAAATACTCCAATATTTATTACATTTGTTAACAATTCATGTTTTATTTTTTTCTTCTCTGCACATGTGCAGTAAATGACTAAGGCCTGTTCCTTTATTTTGGTGATTTCAGATGGAATTCTCAGGCTTAGACTTACAAAACCTAAATGTATTCAAATATGAAAGACTTTACAAAGTTTACAAAACAACATCTTGTCATGGAAATAAGAATTAACTGACAACTTAATTTTCTGAAGAATAGAGGGATGCTTGTGAATTTTCTTGATGAACTAGTAAATATTTCTTACAGTTTTGTTCCCTTCTTTCTACATAAACACTGGACTGAGCAATTTTGCTGGGTTTTTTGGTGGGTTTTTTTTGTAATCAAAGGAGTTTCACTCTGTCACCCAGGCTGGAGTGCAGTGGCATGATCACAGCTCATCACAGCCTCAATCCTCAGGGCTCTTTCCATGTTGTCCAAGCTGGTTTCAATACCCCTTGTCTCAAGAGATCATCCTATATTGACCTCCCAAAGTGGTGGGATTACAGGCATGAGCCACCACACCAGGGTCATTGTTTTCCCTTTTCCAGAATGTCATATTCTTGAAATCAAAGTACAACTATGCATGCACATACATGTAGCTTTTTTTTTTTTGTCCTCTTTTTGTTAGCAATATACTTTTAAGGTTGTTTCATGTCTTTCATGACCTGATACCTGATTTATTTTTTTATCACTGAATGATATTTCATTGTATGAATGTATCACAGATTGCTTTTCTGTTCATCTATTGAAAGAGATCTTGGTTAACTCTAAGTTTTGGCAATTATATATAAAGCTTCTATAAACATTAATTTTCATGTGTTTATGTGGACATAAATTTTCAACTCATTTGGGTAAATACCAAATAATGTGATTGCTGGGTCATATAGTAAAAGTGTTTATTTTTGTAAGATACTACCTATCTTTCAAAGTAGGTGTACTAATTTTATTTTATTATTATTTTTTTTATAGGCAGGGTCTTGCTTTGTTGCCCAGGCTAGAGTGCAGTAGCATGATCATAGCTTACTGTAGCCTTGAACTCCTGGGCTCAAGTGATCCTCTCACCTCAGCCTCCCAGAAGGCTGGGATTACAGGTGTGAACCTCCATGCCTGGCCTTATTTTTAATTATTACCAGCAGTAAATGTGTATTTCTCTTGATCCATATCTTTACTGTCATCTGGTGTTCTCAATGCTTGAATGTCAACCATTATAATAACTGTGTAGATAGTTCACTGTTTGATTTGTAATTCCTTAGTAACATGAGTTCACCGTCTTTTCATATGCTTCTTTGCCATTCATATATCTTCTTTGATGAAGTATGTTTTGCCTTTTTTTTTTAAGTTGGAGGTCTCATTCTGTTGCCCAGGCTGGAGTGCAATGGCACACCACAGCCTTGACCTGCTGGGCTCAGGCGATCCTTCTGCCTCAGCCTTCCAAGTATCTGGAACTACAGGCGCACGCCACCATACCCGGCTAATTTTTTGATTTATTGTAGAGACGAGACTTCACCAAGTTGTCCAGGTTGGTCTCAAACCTCTGGACTCAGCCTCCCAAAGTGCTGGGATTATAGGCTTGAGCCACTGCACTCAGCCTTGTTTTGCCTATTTTTAATTGGGTTGTTTGTCTTCCTACTGTTGAATTTTTAGAGTTCTTTGGCTATTTGGGATATTAGTCCTTTATCAGATACAGTTCTAGAAAGAATTTTTCCTACTCTGGTTTGTCTTTTCATGTTGTTAACACTGCCTTTTGCAGAGCAGGAGTTTTTCATTTCAATGAAGTCAAACTTGCCATTTTTTCTTTCATGGATCTTCTTTTTGGTGTTGTATCTAAAAATTTATCCAACCCAAGGTGACCTGGATTTTTTCCCCATGTAGTATTCTACAAGTTTGATAATTTTGTGTTTTACATTTTAGATCTATGATCCATTTTGAGTTAATTTTGGTAAAAAATATATATATATGTAAAGTCTGTCTAGATTCATTTTCTTTTGTTATTGTTGTTTGTATTTTTGGCTTTTTTTTTAAATGTATATGTCCAGTTTTCCAGTACAGGTGGACCTGACTATTTCTCTTGGCCCAGATTATCTCCTAGCCTCTCATGAGTAATGTTGGAAGAAGAAAAATACCATTTTTCAATGTGTATTTCTTCATTAAAACTTCACTGTGCTTTACCCTATGGCTCATGGAGTGCTGAGAAATTGGGGTAATAAGAAATGGAATAGATGAACAAGTTTTTCTCACAAAGAATTGATGGTCTTAAAATATGTTCTAGGCCAGGTGCGGTGGCTCAGCCTGTAATGCCAGCACTTTGGGAGGCTGAGGAGAGAGGATTGCCTGAGCCCGTGGGTTCGAGGCCAGCCTGGGCAACTTGGTGAGATCTCATCTTTACAATAAATCACAAAAAAACTAGTCGGACATGGTGGCGTGTATCTATAGTTCCAGCTACTTGGAAAGCTGAGACGGAAGGATCGCCTAAGTCCAGCAGGTGGAGACTGCAGTGGCCTTGAGCGTGACGCTGCACTCCAGCCTGGGCAACAAGAGTGAGACTCCAACTCAAAAAAAGATGTATCTGTATAGCATTTCCTCATTTCTCCAAGTTAAGTTGGACCCCCCTACCACTGGAAAACAATAAAACTTGTAGTGACCACAGTAAAAATGTAGAAGAGAAGTCCATGTGTTCAAAATGTTGATAAACTTATAAGGAAGTGAGTAGAAACAAAGAATAAGAGTTCTGATGACCAAGTTATATAGTAAATATTGAAGGCCATAGAATCATATCAAGCCTTCTCATGAACTGAGTACAGCTCCTTGGTCTTGTCGGTCTTACCCATTCTCCTGCATGCATTTTTGGAATTTTAGGACTCAGTGACCTTTGAGGATGTGGCCGTGAACTTCACGCAGGAGGAATGGGCTTTGCTGAACCTTTCACAGAAGAAACTATAGAGAAACTTTCAAGAACCTGGCCTCCATAGGTAAGTGTGACATCATTTATTCACTTAGGGAGTTAAAGAACAAGTGTTTCTTTCTCATCCAAGAATGAGAATGTTATGTAAAGAATTGGAATGTGGAAAGGTCATGTATTAGTAAATACACCAAGCATGTTCACAGTTCATTATAGACATTTTAGAAAGGTAAACTGAGGCACAATGCTTTTTTAAGAGTTTATTTACACAAATAGCAATTCATGAATTGGGAAACACCAAACAAGGTGTTTCGGGACTCTGCCAAGGGAAAACAAGGGGAAGACTTTTCTAGAGTAAACACAGAAGCAATGCAAAGAAAATATTTGATTGGTTGTGGTTATATAGCTGCCTTATTTGTACTCTATCCTGCTGAAAAGCCCCTAATAATATAAGGATGAGTTGGTATCTTCTTATTGGTAGCCTTATATTTCATTTTTTTAAATGTAGGTATTTACAAGAAATAACTCAAGCTAAGTTTTGCTTATGTTTGCAAATCAAGCAAAGTTGGCCACATATGAGGCCTAACTGGCTTTGTCTGCTTGGGGATTCTTCAGGTCTAGTCTCCATTTTAATTTACTTTAGTAGTTACTCCTCTTTGTTCATCATCTCAACAAGCTGAAAATGTGACCAAACAGTATAGTCACAAAAAGAAAGAGTCACATATGTGCTTTCATCAGCAGTTGCATTGGGATGTAAAGTCACATAGTCTGTATTATCCAATATTGCATAGTAATTGAGACTGGAGCTGTAGACTTGTTGAGTTCTTCAAGTTGTCCAATACTGATGGCAATCACCTGATTGTGACTGCTGGAAAACACTTGAAACCTTGAGGCAGGGCATGGTGTCTTACACCTGTAATCCCAGCAATTTGGGAGGCCCAAGTGGGAGGGAGGTGGAAGGATCACTTGAGGCCAGAAGTTAAAGACCAGCCAGCCTGAGCAACACAGTGAGACTCATCTCTACAAAAAAATTAAAAAAAAAAAAACCCTTGAGAGGATACAAAGTGCTAGTGAGGCAAATACAGGGACAATAAGGGGGAATAACAGCCAAGAGTAGAAAAGTTCCTCAGAGTAAAGATTCCCAGGAGCCAAGATTCAACAAATTAGATCAATGGAGGAGGCAACACCTATCCAATGAAAGTGAAAGTACTGTTTTTGTTCCTTAAGGGCCTTTACATTTTGGGCAACAATTCCTGATTTGTTGATATAAAAACATTTTTCACCAATAAGAGCACAAATTCCTCTTTGTCAAGCAACTAAGTACCAACAACTCTTCTATATTTTATACTTCTGAGGTTAAATTATTCATTCTAGATTGTATTGCTCAAAGAAAATTCAAGGTATTATTCTATGAAAACAAAAGAAAAAGGTTAATAGTTGGAGCAAATCATGATCTTAGTTTTTTGAGTCTGGAGAGCAATTAGTTGGGAAGATTCCTAGATTTGAGTTTGAAGCATCTTTAGCTGGTGGAATGAGAATGGATGGAAATGCAGTCTGATGAATTTTTCTGTTCAGCAGTTTGAATGTCTCTGGTTATATTATTGGAAGTTCTTATAAACTCTGAGTGACCCATGCAGCAACAGGCTTGAAGGTTGTTCATACGGTCTTAGTTTATTTTCCATTGCTATCATAGAATACCTGACACTGGATGATTTATATAGAATAGAGGTTTATTTTGGCTCACAGTTCTGCAGGCTGGGAAGTCCAAGAGCATGGGGCTGGCATCTGCTCAGCTTCTGGTAATGTCCTCATCCATCTTATGGAAGACCAACAGAAGGACAAGTGAACACATATGGAAGAGACAAAACACAAGGCAGCCACTTTTTATAACAACCTGCTCTCATGGTAACTGATCCAGTCCATGTGAGTGAGAACTCGCTCCCACAAAAATTAACCCACTCCCATGAGAACAGCATTAATCCATTCCCCATCACCTAAACATCATCTCCTAAAAGTCCCACAACCTCTCAATACCAATACATTGACAATTAAATTTCAACATGACTTTTGGAGAAATCAAGCCAGATTCAAACAATAGCCCATACATTATCATCTACTGTGGTGAACTTTTGGAGTGCATATTAAAATGTCCAGTTTCTCCCGATGGTGCGGTTTTAAAAAGGGCAGTTTTCTTCTAGTTTACCAGAAGAATTCAGAATTCAATCCAGTTTACGGGTAGATTACAAAACCTCAAAGACAATCAGTGAAAAGGACTAGAATTTGATAATGGTATACACCATAGTTTTCTATTGAAATAGTTTTTTTCAATAGCCGCCCCCATTTTTACAAAACATAATGCAGTAAGGCCAAATTTTTTGCAAAATATGTCTAGTCTGATTAAACATGGCCTCACTATATAAATGCAGCAAGAGCCAGGCTCGGTGGCTCAACCTGTAATCCCGCGCCTTTGGAAGGCTGAGGTGAGTGGATTGCCTGAGCCCGCGGGTTTGAGACCCGCCTGGGCATTGAGACCTCATCTCTACAATAAATCAAAAAATCAGCTGGGCGTGGTAGCACATGCCTGTAATTCTGGCTACTCGGAAGGCTGAGGCGGAAGGATTACCGGAGCCCAGCAGATGAGGCTGCGGTGGCCAGGAGCGGCCACTGCACTCCAGTCTGGGTGACAGAGTGAGACCCCCAACTCAAAAATAATAAATAAATAAATAAATAAATGCAGCAAGAATAGTGATTCTTTGCAAATTTTAATATACAGCATTTCAATCAAAACTTTTTTAATATTCAGTGGCCTTTTAATTTCAGTGGCTCCATAAAGTCAGCCTTGGTTTGTTTTGTTTTTTAAACTGTCTGGTAATAAGGAATCTTAGTAGACCTTTAAAAGAATCCCAGGCAAAGAGGCCAAGCAAAGAACTTTACCTAGTTATGTCTTCTTACAAGGAGAATAGGTTCTTGTTGAACTTATGCATATATAAATATTGCTATGGAAATAAGAGTATTTAATAATTGTTTCCTTTTTTTTTGAGTTTGAGTCTCACTCCATTGCCCAGGCTGGAGTGCAGTGGCACACTCATGGCCACCCCAGCATCAACCTGCTGTTCTCCGTTGATCCTTCCACCTCAGCCTTCCAAGTAGCCAGAACTACAGGTGCACACTACCACGCTGGGCTGATTTTCTGATTTATTGTAGAGACGAGGTCTTGCCAAGTTGCCCGGGCTGGTTTCAAACCCGCGGACGCAGGCAGTCCACCCACCTCGGCCTCCCAAAGTGCTGGGATTACAGGTTGAGCCACCAAGCCCAGCCTGTTTCCAAATTTTCCTGTCATTTGGTGGGAAGAAAAATATAAATGTTTCATTTTTGTTTACAAGATATATTTTATATTACATTTAGATCATTTAAGAGAAAAGAGAAAAATGGTTTCTCAAATCTTAGAAATGACATTAAAGAACCAACAATGAACTGGGCTCAGTGGCTCAGCCTGTAATTCCAGCACTTTGGGAGGCCGAGGTGAGTGGGTTGCCTGAGCCTGCGGTTTCAAGACCAGCACTGGCAACTTGGCGAGACCTGTACAATAAATAAATCAAAAGTGAGCAGGGTGTGGTAGCGCAGCCTGTAGTTCTGACTACTTGGAAGGCTAAGGCGGAAGGATCACCGGAGTCCAGCAAGTCAATGGAGTGGCCCTGAGCATGCCACTGCACTCCAGCCTGGGCAACTGAGTGAGACTCCAACTCAAAAAAAAAAAGAACCAACAATATTTTGTTTTGTTCTGTTTTGTTTGAGTTGGAGTCTTTGTCTCCCAGACTGGAGTGCAGTGGCACGATTATGTCTACCGCAGCCTCGACCTGCTGAGCTCAGACAATCCTCTGCCTCAGCCTTCCAAGTAGCTGGAACTACAGGTGTGCACTACCATGTCCAGCTAAGTTTTTGATTTATTATAGAAATGAGTCTTTCCCAGGTGTCCAGGCTGGTCTCAAATCCCTGGACTCAGGCAGTCCTCTCGCCTCTGCCTTCCCCAAAGTGCTGGGATTACAGGCTTGAGCCACTGCCCCCAGCCAACAACGTTTTAAACAAAACAAAAAGAAAGACATAAGGTCAGGTGCAGCATGCAACTTAGGAAAGTTAAACATCACTTACATTTGACAATTCTTCCCATATAATTTAACATATCAAATCTAATTAGTTTAATATTTCTCTTTTTATAAAGAGAGAGAATAAATCTTTTGATTTGTCTAGAAATCTTTTGATTTCTAGAGCCTTATGGGAAATCCCAAAGTTCAAAATCAAAAGACTTCATTTAGTATTTGATTTGTGGAAGTTTGTCAAAAATATCAAAAGGCTTAAAAGAGATCATTATAAAATAATTACCTGTTTACCCAGAGTGACAGTATAGTATTTTAAAGGCAAATACAAGCCGGGCTCGGTGGCTCAGCCTGTAATCCCGCACTTTTGGGAGGCTGAGATGAGTGGATTGCCTGAGCCCACGGGTTCGAGACCCACCTGGGCAGCGAGACCTCATCTCTACAATAAATCAAAAAATCAGCCGGGCGTGGTAGTGCATGCCTGTAATTCCGGCTACTCGGAAGGCTGAGGTGGAAAGATTGCCGGAGCCCAGCAGGTCGAGGCTGCGGTGGCCGGGAACGGCCACTGCACTCCAGTCTGGGTGACAGAGTGAGACTCCAACTCAAAAATAAATAAATAAAAGGCAAAAATAAAAAATAAAAATAAATAAAAAAATAAAAGGCAAATACAAAAAGTTATTTTTTTTTAATGCTTAGCTTAGCTTAGCTTGCTTAAGTATAGCAACCAAATAGTTGATAAAGACAATAGGAATCATAGGAAATTATTTTGCTAAGCCAAAGCATCTTTAGTTTTGTGGTAGATTATTTAACAGAGAAAGCAAATAATTTTTATCATTTCTCATTAAAGAGATCAATAATCCAAGAAATCTTTGTCCTTTTTACAGAAAACCAAAGTCTAGCTTTGTAGCAGCAATACGTTACTGACTTCTTTTTTTATTTTTTATTTTATGAATTTAAAAAGATAGATTTATTAAAG